TGACAACACTACTGCACACTTAATCGACTGCAGCGTAGTGTAAACACAACTGTCACATGCACTGGGTGACCGAACAACGTGCGACTCGCTTTACTGCAATGATCGCTTTATTGTGAACGTGAACTGAACCTACAGTATCTCCGAGGTGAAACCTAAAGCCCAGTATGCGAGAGAATTTGTCTAAAATAACATTAAACAGGGGCTTTTCTTCACAAAACCTTTCACCCAAAATGTCTTCCGTCAGGTTCTGTTTCTATTCTGGCTTGAAACAGAATCTCCCGTTTCATAGAGCATGTGTGTCTTTGCGAGGGGTGCATCCTAGTCGAGTATAAATGATTTCAAGGAAGAACCAATTAGTATATTTAAAACCTCTCTCTATTTTGTCTCCTTCGGAGAAGCGTCACGGAAATGCAACAGTCTCTTCAGTTTGGAACACCTTCCTTTACCAGTTAGCAAAAGTTCTTTGATTTATCAAAAAACTCATTTTTAGTCCTATTTTAAATCAGCGATGTAGCCAAATAATTAAATCTCCCTCTGCTTTCTCCTTGGTTCCAGTTCGTAAACCCCACAGGTGAGGGATCCGGTTTCTGTTGATACTTCTTATAGACAGAGCTGTGAACTCTTTTCTGCATTGTGTAAGCATTGATGAATGTCATCTGCAGTGAGTGCAGTCTCTAATTGGTCTCTAATCATTTCTCACACAATCTGAGTTTGTTTTCAGGAAATGGGAGATGTAATCTACTATTGATTAATGAGTGAAGAAAACCAGCCACAACACAAATTACTCAATAATAGGTAATGGCCACATCATCTCAGGTTTTTAAAGCATAAGATCTTTTTCTTCTCCAGCAAATTATCTTCTTAACCTTTGGGTTAAGTTACCGTTTAAATCGATTTTTATCCCCTGCACACATGATAGGACTGGGAAGGTGGTAAAGGAGGATGTACACAGCTCAGTGAAGTACGTGCAGAGGGTTGCCAAAGGTGGCCAGAGGACAGATAACTCGTAAGGAAGTGGTCACGCATCAACCACATACAGAAGCAAGCGAACTCGCTAAGGTGCCACGTGCTGTGTCTGTCTGCGAGTCAGCACGTTTGGGGTGGCGGGGGCAGTATTCTCGTCTCAGCTTTCTCCCAGGCTGTCAAGAGCACTAGTCCCTCTAATTCTAGTTTCTTTTCCGAAATTGTAACCTTTTCTATGACCCAAGGGAGAAAATGCAATTTTATTTTGAGACCTGGAAATGTCTTCTGAATGTTGATCTTTCTGTTTTGTATAAGTTTGCCTTAGTTTGGATGAGACTGCCCTTCTGTGAATTAATCCTGACTTGGTCAGGATTGTGTGTTTTGATAAGAAGCTAAGATTTAAATAAAATATAACTTTTTCAACTAGTATCAGGTGAGGCAGTTACCACTTAGAACAGGGTTAGGTCCATACCTGCTAGATGTATGTGGGTCTTTAACTCGCCTCAGTCTGCGACAGTGTGTGGCCCCTGGTATTTAAACCCACGTTTAGAAATCCAGTATTCAAGGGCATATGTGTTAATTCACAGATTTGACATCCGTTTGTGGTAAGGTAGATATGTAGCAGTTTCATAGATTGATTGCGGAAAAATCCAGACTTGATGTTAGTAGCAAACTGATATTGGAACGGAGATTTCCTAGGTTGATTTATGTCTTGCTGTTTACATTTAAATCTGTTGACAGTGCTAATGTTTATTCCGGTATAAGATTGCCTCATTCCTAGTTGGCAGAATTAATTTAAGCTATGTAATCGTCAACCGCTTTTATGTCTTTTATGCTTCAATAATGCAAATGTTTAGGAATTTCTACCTAATTCTTAAAAGGGTTGCTAATTAGAATAAGATGGCCCGCTTTGCCCCACAGTGACTTAACAGACCATGTGTTTGATGCTAAATGAACTAGACCAATAACATTCTCTGCTTTTTAACTAACGTCTCAGAAAAGGCAGCTGTTTCTGTGCTGGCAGATGGAACACTTGTGATGCCGACACCATGTGTGTGTGTGTGTTGCAGGATCGGGACGGCCGCGCTCGCAGTTCAGGTCGTGGGTAGTAACTGGCCAAAGCCCCACTACACCTTGCTGGTCACGGGCCTGTGCCGCTTCCAGATCGTACAGGTCTTGAAGGAGAAGCCGTACCCGGTTGCCGAAGTGGAGCAGTTGGACCGGCTGGAGGAATTCCCCAGCACCTGCAAGACGAGGGCGGAGCTGGGCGAGCTGTCGGAGCAGTTCTACAAGTACGCCGTGCAAGTGAGTCGCCTTCATTCATTCCTTGAAACTTTTCCCTCGGTTCCTTTGCTGCCCTAAGAGATAAACTTGTTGGGTGGTTTTAGGGCAGCACGTTTAAACGATTTAATAATAGATTATAATATATTCATTTCAGCTTGCGTTTGCCTGGGATTGTACCTATATCGTTCTAAGACACATGAGCCAACTCGTTCTAATATTTTTACAAAGGCTATTTCTAGAGCTTTCCTTGTAATATCCAGCATCTCCAAACCAGATCGTTATTGAACCTAAATAATTTCAAAAATTAGAATACTGCACAGAAGCTGTTTGTTACTAGACTCTCTAGGCACCGAATTGTATGAGTTATGTTGGTTCAGGAGTCAAGGTCACATGTTACCTGGCAGTCACTGTGGAAGAGTAAGCCCAGGGTAGTTCGAGTTTGAGTGTCGTCTAAACCTAGGGCCACTAGAATGCCGGGTGGGAGGTGCACGTTAGGTGTATTTGACTTCTTAATTCTAGGCTTTTTGGGTTAACTCTAGGTAGGACAGAAAAAGCTCCCGTCACCCCATGTGGTGTCAGACCTTGTTGGAATAAATGATAAAATGTAGTCTTTACTTTCTGTCGACGTACTAACCCGATGACGACAGCTGGATTCGTGGGGGCCGAGCGGCGCCTCTAGGTCCTGACGGTAAACACCGCTGGTCCCTGAAAAGCGTGTGGGGCCCGTTCCCAGCCCGTGGCCATCGTGCCCGATGTGGCATTCGAAGTGACGCTTCTAGTGTGGTGGATGACGAAAGAAAAATAGAAGATTTGGAGCTATAACTTCTGTGAGGGCTGAAAGGAGGAATTTATGCGGAAGGAAGAAACCTCAGCCTGAGAACTGAATTAAGTGACGTGCTGCTTGGGAACGAGGGCATGGAGCGAGGAACAGTTCCTCTCCCCTCTCCTGGGCGACAGCCCTTGGGTCGTGCTTCCTCTGCCCGACGCGGCTTCGCAGCTTCCGGCATCTGGTTTTTTACTTCTCCCCACTTTGAATCAACAAACTTTTAAACAGGTCAAGATTTTGTAAAGGCATTAAAGGAATTTTCAGAGAGGAACATCACCGTATATTTTCCTACCGTCATTTATCTAATTTAGTTTTGGCTTGTCTTCCGGTCTCGGTCCATACTCAGTCTGGTGTTTTCGTATCCCCGTCTAATTTTCACATTCAGAACTTCTACGAAATCCACGGATCGGGACACCCTGGTGTCATGATTCCTCTTTTTAGACATTAAGATCGTTTTCAATTAATGCTTTTCTTTCATCCCGTCCACAGCTGCTTGTGCGGCCCGCGGTCAGCAGCCTTTCTCAGTATCTCCCTAACTGGTCTCCAGTTTCTTCCCTCTCTGACCCGCCCTGCTCACCGAGCCTTTCTAAGTGCCGGCCACGTGTCTCCCCTGAGCAGGTGACTTCCCTGGCTGTGGGCAGAGTCCAGCTTGCTCAGCAGAGCGGTAAGGACTTCACAGCCCCGGGTCCGGCCATTGGTGCCCGTGGTTCCAGCCACACCGCGCATCAAAGAGCGTCACGCCCTGTGTCCTGTCTCTGACGGCTTTGCCTTCTGTCCTCTCTGCTGGGAGTGCTTTTCTCGGAATCTTCAAATTTGATTTATGCTTCCCCTAGCGCCTCCACAGTCCCTTATGCTTATCCCTGTACCATAATGCCATAATGTATCTCAGTGTACTGTCCTACAGGTCTGTGTTCCCCGCCAAACTCGAATTCACCCCTGTTTAGCCGTCCCGTACTGAGCATCAGAGTATGTCCAGCAAATGGTTTGTACCCCGTGAAGTGCGCAGGGGATGAGTTTTAACTGTTCTAGTGTCTTCGGATGAATTCCCAGGAGAAAGTCTTCAAATGTTATTGTCCGCTTCTCCCACCTTGAACATAACTGTGTGTCAGTGCCTTTGACCTCAGTCAGGCGATGGACAGGTTCCTGAATCACAGTGTTTTTGGAGAGGTTTGGTTATTACTAGCGTATTATTAGGATGGCTAAACGAGGATTTGGTTTGCCATTTGTGAAGAAGCCGGTACGGGCTAAGGTCTGCTGTGTCGAGTATGCTCCAGAATCTCAGTCACATAACATAACGCAGGAGCGTTGCTCACTCACCCTTCATGCCTCAAACTGACGGGCGTGGCGATCTACCCGCCAGCGTCACTTAGGGCCCAGGCGGGCTAGAGACCGACCTCAGCATGCTTCCATCATTGCAGCAGCAGGAAAAGGAAGTGTGGCCAGGTTCTCGGTGGCTTTTAACGCTTCCGCCCAGAAGGAACTGTCACTTCCCCCCATGTTTCATGGGTCAAGACAATACTCATAGCTACGTTATCGATTCAGGGGATGCGAGAAAGCGGTCCTGCCACGTGCCCCAAAGAAGGAGCCCCTTTGCCAGTGGCCCCCAGGACCGTCCCCGTGCGGAAAGCAGGCCTCGTGCTTACCCCTCTCAACATTTCCCCTGGCCATCTCCTCCACCCCCAAAAGCACAGTCACTTAATTCAGCTCTGCGCCCGGGGAGTCGCTTCTATAAAAACCGTTCACTTCAGCGCTCAGGTTCTAGTTAATCAACGCATCTAAAAACAGGATTTCAGCTACCGAATGGTTAACATCATGGCATCAACTATGTTAAATTTCCAGAATTTGATAATTATACTGTGATCATGAAAGAGACTGCACCTTACTTGGAAATATTCAGCAATAATAGTATGTATGTTTTGTGTATGTGTGTTGTGTGTGTCGTGTGCGTGTGTAGAAAGAGAGAGCAAATGTGGCAAAATGTTAAAAATTGGTGAATTCAGGGGAAAGCTAATAGGAGTTTATTGTACTTTTGCGACTTTTCTATAAATTTTAATATTTTTTCAAAATAAAATTAAAAATAAAGTCACAAATTTACAAAGCCTTTTATAAACATTAGTATTATCTGTTTTTGAGCCATTTTTGCTTTTCACTCTAATTGACCTTTTGAAAATACTTCTCCCTTCATTTGAGGCTTGTAAAATGTCTGCACTGTTATAATCAGTGATCTTTCAGAAACAGACTCTGGAGCCCAGACACGGAACCTGTATGACAGTCTGACTTGTTAAGTGCGAAACCATGCCAGATCTCAGAAACGTCTGTTTGTCCCTTATAGCTGGTGGACATGTTGGACATGTCCGTCCCGGCAGTCGCTAAGCTGAGACGCCTCTTAGACAGCCTCCCAAGGGAGGCTCTGCCGGACATCCTGACAGCCATCATCCGCACGAGCGACAAGGAGAAGCTGCAGGTACAGCCCACCCCCCACCCCACCCCAGCGGCCTAGATCGTGAGTACATTTGGGGGGTCAGGTAAGAGGCACTGGAGACCCCCCACGTAGCTCCGCTGCTTTGACACTCAAGGTGACTTTCGAAGGGGGCGCCTTTACATTTTTGTATGCTTTATTCGCATGATCAGTACCAGTAGTTTGTCAGTTTACGGAAGAAGTTAAAGCAGAGAATAATTTTGAAAAGGTAGATATTTAATTTAACCTAAACATCTACATATATTTTGTCACACTTTTTCAAACACGTGGAGCTGTGACCTTTCCCGTGCGTACCGGCCACTTTATTAGAATTCCCGGTGTGTCTTATGTAAACCACACCTGTGATGCATTATCTGTGATTTTCAGTTTAAAGTGAAAGGAGTTTTAAAGACACTTGAAAAATAATCCAAGTGCAAAATCTTAGATTTGCATATTCCCCCCAAACCATAAAAGTTCTCGCACGCTTATTTTTCTAGCACTGTTAAGCCCTCTGCTTTATTGAATCTTCCTGGAAGATTTACATTAGTTTTCATTGAAACAACCCTCCTTACTGTATCAGTTTATTTAACACTTAAATCCAGTGGTTACAATAGCAAGTGCAGCTGATACAGACGGGTCGTGTATAAACAAGAATCCAGTTGGCCTGGCAGGAGCAGGCGCCAGAGCATCTTGGCGGTGGGCACCAACAGCCTGTCACACGAGGGAACGGGGCACGTCGGCGACTCGGACATGCTGGTGGTGGGCTTAAAAGAGCTTCTAGTGTGTATGTAAACTTTGATATTTTAAACCTAGAATTTGTTTAGGCCTAATATATAGACACATTTTGGGCCTTAAGAGAAGAATTCTCTTACGTCAACAGAGAGTTGACATAAAATGTATTTCGTTTTTGCTCTTGGGACGATACACATGGCTTCATTTTTAAATGAAAACTCAAGGCACGTTTTTTTCTTGGCTTTTCTAGGACTCTGCTCTCCATGTCAGGGAACCTCACTTATTTACTATACCTGATTGGGCGTGTTAGCCGTTAGTGTAGCTGTGAATACCGAGGGGATCGTCTGCTCACTTAACGATTTATGACTCTTGCTGTCTTGATTTTGGGGCACGTGCTTCTGAGAGAGAGGCTGCTGACTGGCTCGTTTCCGTAGATTCTCGACGCCGTGAGTCTGGAGGAACGGTTCAAGATGACCATACCACTGCTCGTCAGGCAAATCGAGGGCCTGAAATTGCTTCAGAAAACCAGAAAACACAAGCAAGATGACGAGAAGCGGGTAAGTATTTCTTCTAAGCTATTTGTTCAGGTTCCCAGTTGTGTTTAGCGATGTGACATGCAGTTTTTCTTTTCTTTTTTTCTTTTTTTGAAGAAAAAAATGGAATAAAGAAAGGAACAAAAAACAAAAATAGTTCGTTGTCTCTTACCTCTCAGGTTACCGATCGGATTTTGAATTTTGCCCTGTCTCCCTTTGGTCCTGGATCTTTTTTTTTTTTCTAAGCATGTAAACATTTTCTCATCCTCTGGCCTTGTTTCGGTAATCATCAAAAGAGATCACTGACCAGGCCATTTCTTTTTTTGCCAAACACTGTGCGTTGTTTCCAGTGTTTTCTGTATTTTAAAAATCAGCAAACAACCGCCACGAGTGTCTTTGAGTATAACTTTTCAAGGAGACTTAATACTAACATACTACAAAATTGTTTCCTGCAAGGACTGTATCCCTGTGTTGCGCCATAACTTGGCTTTTTTGTTTTTAATTTATAAAGTTTCCATTTTCATTTAGTCCAACTGTTAGTCTTTCCCTGTCTTCGAAGCTTAGAGTCCTCCATCCTCCAATAATTTGATAAATATCCCTTTCCTTTTAGTTTTCCTTCAGTCGATTTTTAAAAAATATTTAGCTCTTCACCCCGTATGTAATTGAATTTGCCCTGTAAACGTTTCCCCGCCAAAGATCTCATTTCTGACTCTCCACAGTTATTAACGTCACTGAATACCTTCCACTCGCCCACTGGTTGGTGATGCCTTCATCATCATCACACGTTACCCTTCCCTGCGGGGTGGGGTCTGTCTGAGTCTGCCTGGCACTGTTGATGTTCCTGTTGTTGGGCAGAGCTAAGATCAGGAAGTGGACAGGAGGGGACATGACAGTTCAGAGGCTGCCAGAGATGAAGTGAGGGGTTGAAAACAGCGTTAGAGGCTTGATGGTGGTCATCAGTGAAGTGAAGCCTCCCTCCCTGTTGAGACTGAGAAGCAGCAGGAAAGTAGGCCGAGGAGGGAAACGAGAGAGAGGGAGAAGCCGCTCCGGGGTTTAGCGTCTAGGACGCCACGCCGTTTCAGGCAAAACAGCCCGGATCCGAATGGTTTCTGGCGAGAAACCAGGTCGTGAATGCGGTTACTCGCTTTGGCTGCGCGCTGTGCATCGGGAGACGCAGAGCCGCAGCCTGCGCTCAGGACATGTTTCCCCTGCGCAGAAAGAACGTTGTTCAGAATTGCTCCAGGAAGCTATCAAACAAGCGGTGGTTATTTGAAAATCTAGGAAACAGGGTAACATTTGGGGTTAGCCTAGACGATCTCATCCTTCCCCTCAGAGCCGAGACGTGCTCTGTCCGCATTGGGGGTGAATCTGCATAAAGTACTTTCGTCCCAACAGTGAAATAAGTGAGGTCCTTTTTTTAATATCGCTTTCTAAAATTCATTTTAAGTTTTTCATACCTTAAAGTATTTTATTAATCTTATTTGCTAAACATATGTAAGAATGAAAGTAGAAACTTGTTACTTCTGTTTTTATAACATTACATTTTTGTTTACTGCTTTGTGTTTTTAACTGTTTATATCCGAATGTATTAAATAGGTAATTTCATAGGTTAAAAAATAAATCCTGAGGCTTTTGAATTAAATACTGGTATCTCATTTTGCTCCAATATTGGCTGGAGTTTAATTATTATGTTGATGATTGAGAATTTCAAAAGAGCACATAGGTCATTTTAAAACAGCGGTCCCCAACCCCCGGGCTGCAGACCGATACCAGTTTGTGGCCTGTTAGGAGCCGGGCCGCACAGCAGGAGGTGAGCGGTGGGCCAGCGAGCGAAGCTCCATCTGTATCTGCAGCCGCTCCCCAGTGCAGCATCACCGCCTCGGCTCCGCCTCAGGTCATCAGGCCTTAGATTCGCATAGGAGCACCGGTCCCTGGTGCCAGAAAGGTTGGGGACCGCTGTTAATGGCTGTTTCAAATATGGTTGTTGGATTTCAAAGAAAATTTCAGCCTGATAGAGACAAAAGCCAGAGCGCGAAGCCCACATCACCAAAGTGATTGGTAAGGAAGAGGGGGAGTGGCGGTGAGAGCTACTTGTTGGGGAAGCAGAACATCGCAGGAGGGAATAGAGAGCGTGCACTTAGCCGGAAGGGACCAGAGGTGAGAGCAGGTGCTTCAAAAGGACAACTTCTGTGTGTGAGAGTCAGAGAGAACGGAGCCAGCGGTGGAGAAGTTAGGAAATGTGATGTAGGACGGAAAACGAGGTGCATTCGGTTACGAAATGGCGGGCGCTCATGTGTATCAAGACAACAGTGGCTGCAGCGGTAGCTCAAAGAAAGGCGATCCCAGGATGCGCACCTTATTTCCGGTAGCCGGCTCCTTGAATTTCTCCTCTCGCGTGGCGCTGGGAGCACATGCTGAAGAGCCGTGGCCACCTGACCTTGATCTGCTTTTTAAATTCCGCTGCCTTCACCTGCGCCCGTGCCCTTCAGTTATCATTCTGGATTTCAGTCCCTAAAGAGTTAGACTCTGGCCGTCAGTTGCAGCCTTCTGTGTAGTTACAGACTCCGTTTCCAGCTTATGTTGACATGCTTTGACGCTCATACTGTCTGCCTCAGGTCATAGCGATCCGCCCTCTGAGGAGGGTCACACACATCCCCGGCACTTTGGAGGACGAGGATGAGGATGAAGATAACGACGACATCATCATGCTGGAGAAAAAAATCCGAGCATCCAGCATGCCGGAGCAGGCCCACAGAGTCTGCGTCAAAGAGATGAAACGGTGACTTGGAAGCTGCCCGTTCCGTAGGGTTTGCTCTTTGCTCGTGAATGTTAAGTTGTCTCTCGTGGCCACACGTGTGCCACTTAGGATCACAGACCGATTTGTTTCCGACACTCTGATCTTTCTCCTTTTCTCACATTTAATGCGGCCGTGGGCGCCGTCCGCTCTGCCCATCTCATCTCTGCATTGTCCACTCGCCTTCCGCAGCTTCCCGAATTCTCGGGGGAGACCGGCGATCTGTGGAATGCCTTTCCCTCTCCCTTCGTCACCCAGAACCTGATCCTTAACATGTTCTCGTTACTCCTGAGCTGACACCCCTGTCCCGAACCTTCTTCTGAGATGCGGAGTGTGTGGTGCGCCTCACAGGCGGTGACCACTGTCACAGCTGCCTCTCGTTGTCTGAACGAGTGGGCCACCCTGAGTTTGGACACGTTCGCCCAGCACGTTGTGTGCATCTCAGGTCCCTGGTTTCTCCTTCAGATCACAAACTCTAGAGGGCAGGGACTGTCGGTGTCTCTTCATACAAGAGAAATGACAGGGAAACCTTGATGACGGAATAGAGTATATGTGTTGATTACATTTTCTGGGTAATCTGAATTAAATGGAAAACCAGTTTTGTCTTCACGTACTTGTAACATTATCACGATAATTGCATTTCCTTTTATTAGGAATTATAATGACCTTAACTAAAGATTTGACTTTCTGAGGCTCCCAGTTAAGAGTAAGTAAGTAAGTGTAGTTAAGGGATGTTGCATATTGACTCTGACCTTCGTTCACGAATGTAGCACATCCGTGGTGTACAGAAGACTTTAATCACTGCATATATTTGAGAAGTTGCACTTTTTATTAAATATCCGACGTTAGCTTGCTTTTATGAGCTGACTTTATCTCTGGTGTAAAAATATATATATAATTACTGTTTTATGCATGGTTAGGCACTTAAACCTTACTGTTACAAGTAAATCAGTGGGTAATGTGACTCGAGACTCTCCCTGTGAGACACAGTGATAAGGCCGTATTTCCAGGACAGACTCAGGCATAGTGTTCCCCACCCCCGTCCCCAGTTTGCAGGTATCTATCTATTTTTATTTTATAAGTATATTTTGTTTTATCGTAACATATTTGCAAACAAAATAAATGTTTTATTAAGTAGATTTTTAAAAACTGTCTTAGATTTGATTAATTAAATGTGTATATCTGGCCAAGAAATGGAGATAAGCTTGCTTTTTCTGTTTTTATGGAATTCTTCATTCTTGAACGTGTTTGTTATGTATTCTTTACCTACAGACTCAAAAACATGACTCAGTCAATAACTCAAAAAAATGCCTCAGTCAATGCCAGAATATGCTCTGACTAGAAATTATTTAGAACTTATGGTGGAACTTCCTTGGAACAAAAGTACAACTGGTGAGCCAACAAAATGACACCTTTTCTTCAGTCTAATTGTCACTTGGAAAACTCATGCGCATTCTGTTGAAATACTCACCATCGATTATCTTACTGTTGCGTTAGTTCCTGATGTAAATTACTCAGAGACTGAACTTATGTCACCTAGGTCTTGAGATCACCCAGGTTAAGAAGGTGCTACGTGAAGGTCTCTTTTGTCTGATTTTAGAAAAAGAAGGGTTTTCCGTGTTAGTGAACTGTGTGTTTCTCAACACCACTCGGGTTCCGACAGTCTTCTCGCAGGTCACGCCCCTGCAGCGCCCGCCTTTGAAGCGCGGGGGTCCTAGGCTGTGGGGTCCGCGAGGGCCCTGCTCCGTGACCTTGGGCCGGCGCTCTGCTCTCATTGCTTCCACGTGGGTGTATGTTTGAGGGTGTTCGCGTCATCGGGAGGTTCATGACAGCTTCAGCCCCGTTATTTTTCTCCTTTGACAGTGGAACTTGTGTACAATGTGAGGGACATCGGGGTAACTCAGTGACAACGGGAGTCTTTGAAATTTGGGGATTTTTCTGTGTGGCAAGGTTTTAACTAAGAAGAGCGATGCAGTGTGTATGTAGTGCAGTGAACTGAGAATGTAAAAATGACAGGTTCGATTATTCGCCTTTAGTAAGTTGCTCTCAGGCTCCTCTCCTCCCCACTCGTCCAACACATATAGTGAAGTTAATTTCTAACTACGAATTTTTACCAGGCCTGTACAATATAATCGTAGAGATTTGGGGGCAAACTGTTTATTCGAAGAGAGAGCTGACTCCCATTCTTTACAAAAATAATCAAGAACATACAAAAACAGGGCCAAGCAATTGTTAGTTTGTTTGTTTTTTAAGCCTACAGCGCCCGATCTTCCTAGGTGGTCTCCCATCCAAGTACTAACCAGGCCCGACCCTGCTTAGCTTCCGAGATTGTTATTTTCCAACCAGGGAAGGAGACCGTCCACATGCCAGCAGCCAGGGGACTTTCTGCCGGGCGTTGTCTGCACTGGAGAGTGTAGCTCCCGTGCGCCCGTCACGGGAGGGCTGCTCGCTGCGCAGCATCTCGGCAGCGGACAGGATGGTGCATGTGGTCCAGTAGGAGCCTTGTCGTGGTCCAGTAGGAGCCTTGTCGAGCTCCTAAGCCAGTACCGTGTAGAACTAGGTCTGAGTACACGCTGTGAGCATGCTTAGAAAACCAAGAGATTCCTCTCGTGATTCCCGAAGGAGATACTTACCCAAGTAGAGATCAGCAAAAGCAGAGAAGAAAGAGTTGGAGGAAATAAGTTTTCTCATTTTCCTGTCTTGAATAGAAGGAGCCAGTAGATACCACTTCAAACTTCCAGGTGTAACTAGACAAATATATGTTCAAGTGAGTTTTAAATGTTTTACATGTAACCCCAAGTATCATTCCAAATAGGAAGCATGCAGTCTGAATCACTGAAAAGAATAATCAGAAAAAATATATCCTGTATAGACAAGATACAAAATAATAATTTATATAGTATGGAATTATCTTTCCTTAAAAGTTTGAAAGAACTTACTTTTAAAATTATCTTAACTTGGCCTATATTCTTAGAAGAATATAGTTTTCCTTTTTTTTTTTTTTTCCCATGGAGTTTTCCTTTTTTTTTCTGAATTAAATTGAATTCTGTTCTTCATTTACTAAATGTTAATCAGGAATGGATGTTGGGTTGTAACAACTGCCTTTTAGGTCCAGAATGACATTTTGATGGAAATATTTTCACCTGGGAAATGGTGATATAATAAACATATTGAAGATCTAATATCGATCCATCTTTGTGTGATTAAATGAATCCCACCGGACGGTTTAATATTTAGATATACAGAATGGATTGGTCTGGAGTTCTGTGTTAACTGTGCTGGGCCTTGGTGTCATGGTTAGCATTATAAGCCGGTGGGGAACTTGGTCTTTCGTTTACACATACACATTTATTAGTTGGGTTCCCTTCTTCCCTTTCCTGTTGGCTCAGCTGGCACTGTCGATGCAATCAGCGAAATTATATATATCGCTGCTTAGCTAGGCTTTTGTTGACTGGCTTGAGAACCAAACTATTATTTAAGGCCACTTTTCTTCCTGTAGGAAAACAGCAGGAAAACATCAGGTTTTCTAGAACGAGCAAATGTCTGACTGACAGAGTGGGCCCGCGTGCGTTTGTCACCCCCCGCCTCCTCTTTCGCAGTCACCGTGGTTCTGTGGCTGGGTCTCATCCCCCAACTCCATGCCTAGTGTTTAATCTATGACTATCGTAAGGACTAAAGCACATCAGTAAATCCGATGAAAGCTTGGCTTATAAACAGAGCCTAATTCATACATTTCTGGTGAGACTTAAATCAGTAGAACTTAAGCAGTTCTTTACGTCTTAACGTTTTTTCGACCCAGCACTTTTGTTTATAGAAGATTAGCTGAAGGGAAGAATTATGGATATATGTGGAGATTTAGTTCAAAGGATGCACAGTGAAGAATGCTTTGTCACTGTGGAGATTTATAGACAGCCTGAAATGCTCTGCAGTACGGAATTAGTTAAGTGAGTGTGGGTAATGAAATGATGGAGTATTATGTAGCCACTAATATGTTAGTGAAAAGTACATTTGACACTGAAAGGTGGCCATAATATATGAGGTGAAAAACATTTTACAAACTTGAAGGCTTCATATAATTGCCCCTTTGAAAAACAAGGCTGTAGGCAGCACACGGGCGTGCAGGCGCGCGCACACACACACACACGCATGCACGCGCACACACGCGCGCGCGCGCGCGCGCACAGAACCCGAATGACACCTACTAGAGTGAAGGCGATGCTCTGGGGAGTGTGAGGTTACGGGCGACTGTGGCGTCTTTTTTATTAATGTCACCCAGTTTTCTGAATGAGCATATGTCGTGGATGTAAGGAGAAAAAACACCAGAAGAGGAACAGACTTCAGCAGAAACAACGTGTAGCAATTAGTGTCCATAGATACAACGTATATCTGGGAAATCATTCCAGATGAAATGAGTGTTAATTGTGAGTTTTTCAGTGTGTAGTGCCTGCTATTTCTGTAGCTACTAAATCTTCTAAAGCAAAAACCCCAAGCCTGGGTCTCCCTAAAGACACGCTCAGAAGGGTCCAAGTCTGTCCTTGTCACATCTTTTTTTCTAAAAAAAAAACCTTTTGACCCTTGCCAGCCTTGAAAAGAGTTCTTCCATTTATAAGCCCCACATGCTCAGCTTATTGCCGTTGGCTTATTCGACAGACCGGCTGGACATCCGAGCAGCCCGGGTTCTTCTGGACAACGACCATTACGCCATGGAAAAACTGAAGAAGAGGGTGCTGGAGTACCTGGCTGTGCGACAGCTGAAGAGCAGCCTGAAGGGCCCCATCCTGTGCTTCGTTGGCCCCCCTGGCGTTGGCAAAACGAGCGTGGGCAGATCCGTGGCCAAGACCCTGGGCCGAGAGTTCCACAGGATCGCGCTGGGGGGCGTGTGCGATCAGTCGGACATCCGGGGACACAGGTGGGGCCTCTCTCCTTCCCTTTCGGCGGGGTGGAGCCCCCTTGAAAGCCAAGCATAGTGGGCCTCTTCCTCTGGGGGGCCGTTTGTGATACCGGGCAGAAGGGACATTTAGGGTACGTCCCAGCTGGCCCGGGGCCCTCCACAGTGGCATACCCAGACGAGTCGGGCTCTTGGTGCGATGGCGGGTGGCTGGTCGGTGCTTCGGCCCTCCTGGGACCTCACTGGTGTGCACTGATGAACGAGTTACGATTAGACATCATAACGCCTTCACGTGCATTTCGGCCCAGTAGCGTTTCATAAGTACTGACCCATGACTCTTAGGGTTTAAAAAGTAAGTGCGGTGTGGCCGGGCCAGGTGGGAGGGGGTAGGGAATCTTCCAGAACAAATTTGTTAGGTTCGCAGCCTGAACTTCCTTTTCAGAAGGCTGGTTTATAGTATGAGTAATAAGGAGAAAGGTTAGGATAATTATTAAGGCTCATTCTTGCATTTTTGACACTTTTTCTGTAAAACCACATTAAACTATAAGAACTGCGTCTGACTAATCCGACATTGGAGTCAGATTTGCATGTGACGCTCATCATTTTGTTCTCTGTGGTCTGCTCGGATGGGAAGGAGCTTCGGGAAGGCGTGAGCCTCTGGTCCACAGTCGTGGGATGATGGGCCTGCAGAGTGCGTTGGGGAACATTTAAAGATGTAGAGATCGTGAGCTGCTCATGAAAGAATATGGTGTGCCCTAAAATCAATACGTTATACAGCCATTAAATCCCAATCTTAAAACTTTTTCAAAAGAAACTGCTTAACTTGCGGTAGAAAGTAATGACACAAGGTAAAACTTCTGTCCTCAGACCATCCCCTCGGCCCAGATTCCAAGTGGAGGCTTTGCCAAGCAGTGGCACCCAAGGGTAATGTCACCGCGTGCTTGCGGTGAGCCAAGTGTGGACTGAACTTAGGTCACGGCGGGGGATAAGAATGTGATGATTTCATGATGTCCTACTTTCCATCTGCCTCATTCATAAGATCACTGGCCTTAGGCAGAGACAGACACCTTTAGAAACTTTTCCATGAAAAAATGGTTCTTTTTACTCTCTTTTATTTGCTTATTTACAGTTCTTAAGCAGTAAAGAAAAATCATTCCAAGAATTGAATGAATGAGCCATGAGGGCTGCAGGTTCGCTCAAGGAAGTCATTGAGTCGGGTCATTCTTTTTGTTGTTGTTATCAAGGTTTTATTTTACAATTAGTATTTTATCTTTTTTTTTTAGTGTTTTTATTTTATTATTAGTTTCAAGTATCCGGTACATTGGTTAGACATTTATATAGTTTCTGAAACGATCCCCTGATTGCTATTCTTTCTGGCAGTTTCAAACAATATTTTTATTCTCTAGACTTTATTCTCACTTGTGCCACTAGAGGCTGTAGTTTGCTTCTGTAAGGAAATTGGCATCTTGCACCAATCTTGGAGAAGCTGGATCTAGGACCCGAATCTTCTCATTTTGGCTACAGAGCTTCGGGGAGGTGTTCCGCGTGCAAGTGACTTGACTCGTGGACTCAGAGTTGTTTTAGTTTATCCGTTTTGTTACTGGTAGCATAGTATTTAAGCATCCGATGAGATTTAGAAAACGAGTTTGTGAAATAATTAGCACGTGAAATTAATGTCAGCGGCACATGACCTGTAGGTGATTTGTCTTCATTTCTTTCCACGTTGACATCGATCCCTCAGGAAGACGTGAGAAGTGCTTCCGCGGCGCCTGGCACGCGGCGAGCAGTCCATAAAGATTAGCTTCCCTTATCAGTTTAATTCTAAATTCCCAGGAGGATCAGTTGAGATTTACATGTTTCAATATGACTTTTTATAAAATTCAGTCCGATTTTTAAATCGCACCAAAAATATCCTGTTCTTGGCATTATTATTTAATTTGTGCGGCAAAATCGTGGGAAAATATATTTTCGTGGTGCCCAGTGGTGGGCGATGTAGTATCATAGTTCTCTCCACCTGTGAACATGGCGGGGTTTACACAGGTCTCTTTTTCAAACCTTGACTGATACTGATAGGTGTACAATTTGTTCACTTTTTCAAGTGCATATACTTTCATGCGTGTGACTATCGTTAAGAAAATCGACTCTAAATTAAGAATTTGTAAAAGAAGATTGTGTATTTGCCTCAGACGTGTAAACAGGAGATTTTTAAGTACGATGGCATGCGTAGCAGCTGTGATCACTGCCACATAGAAGGTGTGTGGGTTTGTCTGTGAATCGGACAAATCTGTTAAGCCTGAGTTTTGGTGCACCTTGCTGGTAATTGCCCTAGCTGTCACTGTACCAGAGGTTCGCTTAAACGTGACAGCAGCCTGCCCTGTGCCATTGGGGACTTACTACTTTCCTACCCTGCAGGCTTCCAAAGCCTGGAGAGAATTTTAATTTCGGAGCCTGTGGGGAGCAGGTGGAGAGCGGGCGTGGTTGCCGGGGCGGGGGCGGTGAGCCGCTGCGAGCTTATGTCAGGGTTATGGGTTGGAGGAGAATGGGAGGGGAGAAGGAACAGCCGAGGGTCACAACGTGACACGGGCTGGAGTTTGTGGGAACAAGCAGTTCCATGCGAGAGTTGAGGCATTTTGGAAACGCCCAGGTCTTGGCATTCAAGTGTTGGTCACATGGTCACGATTAGAGTTCATGCAAAGTTTTGTTTTTCCTCTGCCTCTGAGTGGGCACCGCTGTTCTGCAGTTTTAAAATAGCCAAGGAAAAACAGAGCTGCTTTATGTTATCTTCCTTGCTTGTTCTCTTGATTTTTGTCACTCACTTTCCCTATTTTCCCATCCAGGGGACTTCAGCCTTTTGCTAGAAGTACCTCTTCATGTGAAGGAAGGTGCTGATAAGTTGGGAATTAATTTGAAAAGTAACCAAAGCTTTGTGTTTTCGAGTTAAATGATGATGAGGTAGGAGATGGAGAAGAAAAAGAAGGATTCGATTTACATTTAAATCTTAAACTGGGAAAATAATAGTGGTCTGACTGAACACTGGCCCGTCGTTTCTGTTCATATTATTTTGAGTAGCTTCAAAGGATGAATAATCTCATTTATGCTCCATATTAAGTCCTGCAGTTTTTCAGTCTTGTCGATATTTCTCCTTTAGGTTTATCTCTGTTGGGATTTTTCTGTCCACTTTATAAATCAGAGTCTCGGTTCCCATCTATCAGTTTTTAAAACTTATATTTTATGTTTAAATGTTACATTTAAATACTTTAAATTAGTCCATAGAAATTAAATATAAAATAACTTCTTTTAGGATGAAGTTTTCTGAAATCATGTTCATATAATAATCTGTTTTTCGTTAGTCGTTCCTTGGTGAAATATGCCAGTTGTGCTACAGTTCACGTTGATGATATTAACTCTTCAGGAGTCATTCACCAGCTGCACGTCGGATAATAAAATTATACCACTGCAGGGAATCCTTAGCTCAATTTTCAACAGGACGAGAAGAAAACTGAACTTTTGCTTTGCACGTTGATAAATTTTCATATGTGACCTGAAATGGTGACGTTTCAGATAAGTAGGCTGTTTCTTTATGAGTCTGCAGGGAAGACCAGCGGAAGTCACAAGCTTCAGCGTGCTTTGCCCCGGCATGGCCACCATACCACGGTGCGCTCGCTGTCCACCTCTAGCCTGTGCCTGCACTGGCCCCTCTGTGTTCTGAAACTTAGATTTATTTCAAGGCCGCAACCCCAGGCTTCCTCCATTAATATAAGTGCAGTCGGTTATGACCTACTGCCCTCCAGACTGACCGCTTATTGTCTGTCGTGCTCTCGTAATGATTAAATAATATGGGCCCCTGGCATTCCTAATACAAAACTGTAGCGGTGGAACATGAGTATATACAAAGCACGAGCTCGGGAGCGCAGGGGTTTTATCACCCCTTATGCTCCTTAGTGCGGTGCCGGGCGCGGTGGGCACCCTCCTGGCGCTAGGGAATGCGAGTGAGCAAAGCGTGATTGTACTTACAAGTCACACAGCCCTTTAGGTGGGCGCACGCACACACGCACGCGTGTCAGAAGGTTAGGAATGGCTGCTGTGAGAATGACAGATTGATTTAGACGGGCTACATCAAAGCCTTTTTAGTTCCTTAAGGACTTTTTCTTTTTGCGATCATTAGGGTGTCTCTTAAGGCTTATTACTTTATTTACAATTTGAGACACACACACACACCCTTAGTAAATTGGGAAAATAATAAAAAAGGAAAACTATCCCCAAGTTTTTCTACCATATTACACAAAGACTGTCACTTTTAACATCTTATTTCCTGCCAGACTTTTTATTAGGCAACTTTTGCCATTTTATTTTTAAGCAACAGAATTATAATCCTGCCCTTTCTACTTCACTTATAACATCATTTTTTTGTATTACAAATTCTTCGTAAATATCACTTTAATAGTTGGCACTACAGCCGTAAGAGCTCCCTTCACTGAACAGGCAAGAAAAATTGTCGGTAAAGCCTGTTTACCCCCCTTCTCTATCTGCTGGGAAGGAGATGGGTAGACATATTTCATTCCTGATACTCAGATGTCGTCGGCAGTGACAGGCCGACCGCCTTGTGGATTACGGTAGATTTGAAGACATAACATTGCGGTAGCATCTTTTGGAAGCTTAACTGTGTGCCAGGCCCTGTACGTGCGTTTTACCTGTTATGTTCTCCCATAGTCCTCGTGGAATCCGTGAGGCTGGCACTGTTACTGTCCCCACTTTACAGGTGAGGAAACTGAGGCTTAGGTCAAGTAATTTGTCCAAAACACTGTTCAAGGACTTGTGCGCCCTTAACAGCGGTGACAGAAAGATCCACTGGGCGCTGGCATCCTTGCTCTGCTGTCCTTAATATATAGGAGAAACAAGCTTCTGTTTGGGGAGCAATTGTGCAGCTCTGCATCCAGCACCCAGTGCTCCCCGGCTTCTTAGAGCAGGCTCTGTACTTGGTACCCATGAGTAAGAACTGGGCGTAAGTGTGCCTCCGCGAATCGTGGGGCCAGTAAATGCTGTAGGCCCTGCGCTACGGGAAAGTCGCTGGGCGGGAGGCGGTCAGGAAAAGTTCTTAAAATTGCTGGGATTTATTTACATCAGCAGGGCGAGTGTAAATCAGCATGAAGGCTCCACATTAACAAAGGGGCAGAAGCATAAGGGGAGTGTGACAGTACCTCGGATGGTGTCTGGATGAACCAAGAGCATCATGGCAGGAAGTTAGGGAGGCCGGGGACTGGATTGCTAAGGGCCTTGAACTCCAGACAAAGCAGTCTGGGCCTGGCTCTCTGGGCCCTGGGACGCGACGGGAAGGTAAGGAGGGGCTGTTGGTGTCCCGTGACCGCCGTCTAGGCAGCCACTTCCTCTTTAGAAACGGTATCTGCCTGGCGTGTTATTTTCTGTCCATGACCTTCGGTCCAGAATTGTCGGTCCCTGTTGTCGCACTCTACCTGTCAGACGGGCAAGGAGAGGAAAAGAGTTAATGCAGCAAGAATGACCCTCGGAGGCACTGAGGGTTTGTCAAAAATGTCTCCCCTTCCCACTTACCACAGAGTAATGGCAAACCTATAAGTTCTCTAGAGAAATAGTTTCAGAGAATTTATTAGCTCTGAAATCTCGAATGCACTAACTCCTTAAACAGGACGTTTGCTGTAGTGCATCTGGTCCCAGTGTCTCGGTCACCCTTCCTGGACCAAAGGCATTCCCATGACATCGGAGGTCACTCCATCCCAAGACGGCTGCTTCCGCCGTCCCTCAGTTTCTGCCTTTCCGCCGACAGCACGTGCGGTGCGTGCGGCTCGGGCAGCGAGGCTGTAATTCAGAGCAGTACATTGCTGCTGAAAATAAAGTGTCGCTGGCCGTGTTGAACAGGCACTCTGTTCAGTCTGGCATATTTGCTTTTGTGTCACGCCGCACTCCACGCCTGTCGTGATTATGTAGACAATTCTTGATCAGATACGACAAAGCTGCCTCCGACGTTTTAACGCCTAACAAAATACCTGGCCGCACTCGGTTGTGCCAGTTAGTGGCTGGTGAACGCAGCTGCATTCGAAAGGCCAGAGTTAATGGCATTATGATGTAAATACTGTTGACACCAGCGCCTCTTACTACAATTAATAACCAATTATTCCCCTGAAAGTTAAAGTTTAGAATTTTTCTTTGGGGGTGGGAGGGAGTCTACATTTTGAGTGGCCTTTGAACCAATCTGATTTCCTTCATGGAGATGATGAGCCTTAGCCAGCCCTGGGGCAGCCGTTTCGTTACATAGAAAGGCGGTCACGTTGGAGGCTGGGGTGCAAGGGGGCGCCCTGAAAACCGTGAGTGGCTTGGGAATTAGATTTTCAGGGTCCTGTGGACATTTTGAAATCTTGAGGAGAACCATACCTATGTGACTTAAGTGTCATGTTTTTCAGTCTCACTAAATGGCACATATTAGATCCAGTTCTTCCAATACCGTGGGTAACTTAACCAGACTTAAATGGAAAACGAGGTAAGAATTGAGTCTAACAATGTTCTGCTGTGTCGTAGGGCTTTGTACATATGTAGTACCTCTTTGTGTATCACTGTGAGAGCTAAGCGACTTTTCCCAGTCCTGAGTTTTCCTGTCTAATGGGACCGCTCCCGCCTGCCGCGAGCGCGGGGTTAATGTGCTGTCGCCTTCCGCAGGCGCACCTACGTGGGCAGCATGCCCGGTCGCATCATCAACGGCTTGAAGACCGTGGGGGTGAACAATCCGGTGTTCCTGTTAGACGAGGTTGACAAACTGGGCAAAAGCCTGCAGGGAGACCCCGCGGCGGCTCTGCTCGAGGTGAGACCCAGAGTCCCCTGTCCGCAGCGGCGGCACGGGTAAGACTGGAGCATCTTCAGGTAACGTCGACCAGAGCATCCCAGTCAGGTATCAGTCTACGAGAGCATCTCGTTCAGGTAACACCCCTACCGTGTGGGCTCAGTCACGGGAAGAACAGTCTGAAGCAATTCTATATATAAATTAAAATGTCTCCCAGATCTCTTTTTCTTTCTTTTTCTAAAAATTCTCAAGTTTTTTCTTTTTTGTACCCCTAGTTTCCTGGTATAAATTTCATCCTTTCGTTAAGTCATTATTGAGTATTTACAACATTATAACTAAATAAGTGCTTTTCACAGCGGAGCTGAGTGGTTTAATGTGATCGTTTTTTTGTCTTCCTTTTTGTTTTTCTGTACCTGTTTTTAAAAATCTTCTTAGAGGTAGTAATTGTCTCGTTTCTTTGTTTCCTTTACCAGTTGTCTAATTCTCCCTCCGAGACTTTCAGACCCTAGGTGTTCTGCCAGGGTCATCGCTAAGCCTCCCGTCCGCACTGTTCTCCGTACCCGGCGTGCCCCTGTCTCCTGGGTTCTCCCTTCCCCTCCACCATGTCGGATTCCAGTCTCCTGTGTTTCATGCCTTCCTCGTTCTGGGTTTATTCTCTTGTTTTTGTGGTATTAACCCCTCAGTAGTTTCCTGAGAAAGCTCGCATGAGTGGCAAATGTTTTTCGGTTTTGCATATCTGGAAATGTCTTCGTTTTCCGTGTATTTGATTGGTGGTTTGATTGTTATAATTTACATGAAAATTAAGCTTGGAGTGGGTTGGGGGAGCATTGTTATGAGTCTGTGACTGTGTTTGCCTCCAAGGCATCCCCGCTCACCCCAACCTCCGACCCCCACCCCCAGGGATGCTCTGTCAGGCCCAAGTCCTGGCTTTTGCCCTGTTTCCCTCTCTACAAGGACCCGCCACTGGATTCAGTAGTAAAGTGTACATAAGTGTCTGAGCCAGCAGGCCTCCCGCGCTGTGCCAGGGGCCCTTCGCGTGTGGCCCTTCGCGCGTGTGCTGACACACGCCTTGAGCACGGGCTGGTGATCTACAGCTCTGCCGTAGCCCTCGCTTCCATCAGAGGTGAACGCGTGGGGCCTCCCCGGAGCTTTCCTGATCACGCCGTAGTCCTGCACGTGACCTTCTCGAGCCCCAGGAAAGTTTCAGAGCTTTTTAAAGGCCCCTCCTCCCCAAGTATCTCATTCCTCAGTTTTTCCTTATTAGTTTTGTGACCAGCCTCTCGTTAGTCCCAGCTAACTGGTATCGCTGCCTCCGGCCCCTGAAATATTAACAGTTGCTGCTGCTTGTCTTTGCCAAATCCCCCAGAGATGGGGCTGTTCACACAGAGTGTCCTCTGAGTTCGGACAAATAAACACAAATCGCTGAGAATGACAGTTTCCGAGGAACATCCAGACAGGGCAAATACCGTTCTCAGGAAATGGGGCTGTTGGAGCAGTCTGGTCCTCTGTGCTCCCAGTGGCTGCGCGGCGACTGGTTTTCAAGGCCACCGTGAACGTGGGAGAAGGGAAAGAAAAGTAGAGCTTGCTGCAGTCACCCATGTGTTCTTAGACACCGTTCAGACTGTCGCCATTTAATTTCTAGAATTCTGAAAAAGTTGATTTGGACAATTTTTGCTAGTGTTCTTCATTGCTTTTATGGAGAAGCAGATTTTCAGAATTCTTTACTCTGCCGTTCTAGAAGTGCTTCCTCCTACGTGCAGTTCTGTGCTTAAATGATTCGACTGCTCACTTCTGATCCTTTTATTTTGACTGACTCGTCGTTCAGATGGAATACATTTTCAAGTTGCCTTTATCAAAGATTTGTTCGTACTTGTATTTTGAGGCCTTTTATATTTGCTAAGGTCTCTGTCGTCTGCACCAGTAATTTTGTTCACATATCCCCAAATTTTTTGAAAATATATCCCAAATATGTGAATATCTGCGTAATCAAGGTCTTTCTGTCCGCTAAAGCTGCCGTAACAAAATACCACCGACTGGGTGGCTTCAAAAAACTTATTTTCTTACAGTTCTCCTGAGGCCTCTTTCCTAACCCAAGTACCATTGTAGAAATATCGTGTGTGTGTGTGTATGTGTGTGTGTCACAGAATGAGGTGTTTTTTTTTTTAGAATAAGTTTTAAAAGATAAGATAATTCTATTTTTAGTGAAAATAATGTATTCTAATTAGATAAGTAAAATTGTGATTGCTGAGTTAGTCATTTTACTCCCTTTTTGAATATGTATGTCAGCCCTGTTTGTCTTCACTAGCCTCGGAAAAGCGGCAGTGTGTGAAGGGTTTAGAACGTGTAGAAGGTGCTTGGGACCCTCCTTAGGGTCCCGCTTGGGACTCTCAGTGAGTCCTTGTGACTCGGAGCCCTTGAGTAGTGACCCAGAAAAGACAGAGTCCTGAACACGAGTCATTCAGCATCTTGAGAATCTACTTGCTAAATTACCTAATCTATCCACTTAAAATACTTTTAAGAGACACTGATATTCCGCTCAGCATAAACAGAAAGGTTTGCTTCGAGGCATTTTTAACCGTGAGTTCTCCCTCGTACTGTGAGAATATAGTAGTGTAGTCATGTTTTAGTCGTTTCCTCTTGTCTGGAAGCTCCTTTTCAGTTACAGACGCTCCAGACTCTGATGATGTTCGAGGAGGAGCATGCTGCTCGTCCCCCTCCCCTAAGGATTTCACAGTGCTCTGCGCACTTTCTTTGCACCCCACGGCAGTTAAGAGAGGGCGCGCCAGGGGAAGGGGCTGGCTCCGCGGGCCTGCTAAGGACGGACACACAGTGCCGTCAGTAAGCAGATCGCGCAGGAACTTGAAAGGGTCGTTTTTGCTTCTTTGCGCTTTTACGTCTTCAAAAATTTTGACATCGAACGTGTTTCGTATTTTAAAACATAGTGTCTAGAATGGGGGGATGCGAAGAACGTGTTCTCGTCCTCCCCTGTTGCCCAGACCGACTGCATCGAGCAAGAACAGCAGCCTTGTGACTGTCCCGTGTGTGTTGGAGTTTATACAGCTTTCTGCGGGAACTGTCGAGCTTGTTTAATGTTTAGCATTCTCCCACAGGTGCTGGATCCGGAACAAAACCATAACTTCACAGATCATTATCTAAACGTGGCCTTTGACCTTTCCCAAGTGCTCTTCATAGCCACCGCCAACACCACCGCTACTATCCCCCCCGCCTTGCTGGACAGGATGGAGATCATTCAGGTGCCAGGTACCCGAGTCATAACTAAAACCGTTATTGATATTTTCGCCTCTGTGAGCGCAACCCTTTGAAATTGGTCAAGCTGTGAATTTTGAGTAAAAAGTTGTTTTGCCAGTGTATGATCTTCAAAAATCCTGAGTCTGATGCATAAACCAGCTTTTACATAGATTCGGAGTCTGGAACAGCAGAACTTGTTTATCTGTTTGCTTACATGAACCATGACAGCGTAGCAAGAGTAAATTTTGCATAGCAATTTCAGATTGAATTTAGCATTAAGGAATGATCTTTTTTTTTTTTAATGAAAAACAAGGTATTCTTCAAAGCAATTTCTAAAATTATATAATTTTTTTCCAAAGTAAATCTCTAAAAACCCAAAACAGATCTCCACACGGTCATTTGAGCTTCCTGTTTATCAGATTTTGACGTTTTTACCGTCTCTAGGAAAGTGTAAAATTTGCTCTCATTCATTAAGAGATGGGTCATAAAGAAGCCAAACTTTCTCTGTATTACCTCTGGCCTCACTTTATACAGTAGTGCAGGATGCTTTTAAATTCCTCTTCTTTTTAGTTAGGTCTGTCAAATACCTATATATATATTTTTTTTATCGTGTGCGAAGTGTGCAAAACAATCCTTTAGTCACTAACACGAAGTAAATCCCAGTGTTTTCGCCTTATTTTAATTGCTCAGAATTATTTTTCCTTAGAAGACATCAGTTATCAGTGGCTATGTGTTAAAATGCGAATAGAATCGAATCTAAATAGATTGAGATTCTAAATATAATCTAAGTCTATATTTCATATTATTCTGAAATATATTTTTACTATGAAGTGAACGATAATTGGATTTCTTAGTTATCTGCGAGCCCAGCGATTCCTAAACTTAGTTTTAAAATACAGTGGAGTAAAAAATTGCTTTGTACATATTTATACCACAAACAAATAAGTCATGAGACCCAATTGCTGGAAACTCCAAATTAAGGCAGAAAATGCATAAGCAACACTAATGCGGAGGGCAGTACTCAGAACAGCTGCCGCAGAGGCGGGTGCGTGGTGGCATCTTCCTCCTGCGGATTTGGTTATTTACCTTTTCTGTGTTTTTTATTTCCTTTTTCTACCCCAGCGATGCCTTATCAATTCATCTTTTCAATGTTGCTTGTTAAATGGAAAAGGATAGTTAGTTTAGGGGGAATTTTGTTTTACAGGTTTAAAGACAGTAAATCTATACTCCTCGAGGCTTTTAAATAAATAAGAACATAAAGACTTTTAAATATACAAATTACATATGTATATAATTCCAAGACGTAGAGGGAAAAACCTTTTATAGGGACATCTTAGTTTTGGGTTTGGTTCGGTGCTAAAATTCACATCACAGTTCTGGAAATAGCTCTCACGCAGCTGTTCCCTTGGAGCCCGCTGCTTATTTGGTTGAAGTCTTGCTGTTGTTGTATTTGTAAGTTTTTTCAATTATGTATCACATTATTTGAAAGAGAGAGATGTGTTATTTTTCTAGTAAATAATAAAAACTTAGATTTGAGGTAACGAGATAATTATCTCTACGGTTAGACTGAGGTTTTGTTTCTCAGCTCTGAGAGCTGTATCCTTTATTCAAAAGACTTTAAAATACCGTGCTTAGGAAATGCTTGTTTCATTTGTGAAAAGGTTGGAAATTTTAACCGTTGTTGATTGGACATTCAGTTTCTTTATTCTGATTGACGTAAGGTTTAAATTCAGTCTAAATCCAAGACCCATTGAATCTGCATTCGATTCATCAAAAAAGCCTTGGCACCGTGGAAGCCGGGTGAATAATTGCGACACCAGGTCGATTGTTTTCCAGGGTACACGCAGGAGGAGAAGATAGAGATCGCCCACCGGCACTTGATCCCAAAGCAGCTGGAGCAGCACGGGCTGACCCCTCAGCAGATCCAGATCCCTCAGGCCACGACTCTGGACATCATCACCAGGTTAGTCAGCGTCCGGAGGCTCCTGTCCCGTGAGGCTGAAAAGAAGAGTCTTTCCTGGTGACTCCTGGCATCCGTCTTTCTCTGTCCAGCAGAGTCCCAGCAGGCGTTTCCGTGGCTCTTGGTTTGCACAGGGCCGTCAGGCAGAGCTTCAGAGACAGCATTTAGAGTTTCTTCATAGCCGAGGACTTCAGTTGAGCCAGAATTTCAACTTTTCCACAATAGCTGTATAACGGATTAATTTGATAATGTTAAGAATGAAAAATAGGGAAAATATTGAGACACTTCATGGCCCAGGATCTTAAAAGTTGAGTTCTCTTAAGAAGCGAGATGCTGCTTTCAGACGTCTGTTTTAAGTTACTCAGATTTCCTTTTCTTCTCTTCGAGAGTTTGAAAACCCTTAGAGCTTTCACTTCCAGAATTATCATAGGAACAGTAGAGAAGGTTCTTCCCCAGCTTAGCTACTGGGCGCTTACGCCTGTGGCAGGCATTTCACAAACTGCCTGAGGTTGCTCCTCAGTCTAATTTACAGATGGGAGTTCGGCGGGACGTGCGCCCTCCTGCAGGTGTGTGTAGCGCAGCCTCTCGAGTCGTCCCGGCACAGGCACAGTGCTGTGGCCGACGCAGCATCTGGCCCACCATGTCACCGCGTCACCGCCAAGCCCTCCTTAGGCGACCTGGCCCGGCACTGCTGTTTTCAAGAGCGAAGTGTCTTCTCGCCTTGAACTTTGGCATAGTTTGGCCGGTCTGACTGCCTTTTGATCTAAGCAACAGGCACAGTGCTGTGGCCGTCGCGTGCATCCAGCCCACCGTGTCACTGCGTCACCGCCAAGCGCTCCTCAGGCGGCCTGGCCCGGCACTGCTGTTTTCAAGAGCGAAGCGTCTTCTCGCCTTGAACTTTGGCTTAGTTTGGCCGGTCTGACTGCCTTTTGATCTAAGCCAGCCTTCTTTGGAAGTCAGTTTAAATTTATGCACCAAACAGAAAGACTAAGTCTGAGCCTGGAGTTCCTTTTCCTAACTGGTGACTTACTGTGTGGGTGATGGCAGGAGAAATAAATTAGGGGATTTGTATGCCAAAGTCTTCCAGCGAGATCATCATTGCAGATAACACCCCTGACGCCTTTGGGTAGTTCTCAAGAAGTCACTTAACCTTTCTGATAGCTTCCCACTCTGGAAAATCCGAGCGAGTGAGTAAAATATCCTTAGTTTATCTGGTCTAAATAATAGTCACTCCGAAGAGTGATCGTTATTCGTATTTCCCAGTTGTTGCCTGTAGGACTATTTTTTTAAGATATATACCTGCAAGCTCAAACCATCGCTATGAAAAGCTATGACATTAGGACATTTTTCTGAGCGGTTTTAATATTTTTAAACACAGCACTGTTATTTGCTAGTCCAGGCAAGTTTTAGGCATTTAGTGAGTTACCAGACTTAGGACGTGGTTTTTCATCTTTTGATGGATTTTCCATCCTTTCCCGTGTCATAGTTATAGACCCGTAACGTTCAGGAGGTGGGCAGGAGACCTGGAAGTCACTTCGTCACACTCGCCTCCAGGGTAGCCAGCCTGCCTGAACTTCCGGCGCCCGAGCGCACTGCTCCCTGGCAGGCGAACAGCTGTTACAGAGCTGTCTCCGCACGCCCCTCCCCGCACCCTCTAGTCCTGCCTTAGGGGAGCTCCTGGAACGCAAGGCTCGCCCCTCCCTCGGACCGAAACGCCATCCAGGGCCACATCCGTGAATGTTGTCGCCTGCGGACTGAACGTACCTGCTCTCCCTACCAGTCCTCTCCACCCCGCTTCGAGACCTCGCCCTTCCTGATCAGGCTTCTGTCGAATGACTCCTGCGATGTCAGTGTCCCTTTTAAAATTAAACACCCAGAGCGGGACTCAGCCTCGCGGATGTCACCTAAACAGCTCGGGCTGTGGGAGGGACCCTGATCTCCTCCCTCCGAGTCATCACTGCGCACTCTGCTGCCTGTCACACGTGCGGTCACCTGAGACTTCTGGCTCTTTCATATGCGTTTCTGCTCAGCGTGGTCTGTACCGTTCTGCGCCGATGGGGTTGAGTATTTTAAAGCCGAGATGAAATTTTTAAAGAAGTTTGCAGTTGTGAGTATTTTATTGTTCGTCTCAGCTACCACTGCAGCAAGCTGACTTTTTTTAATCGAGATTATCATTGAGAACATTAGTTTTATGTCCACTGAAAAGTGGCACCTGTACCATCTTCACGTTCACGTTATTGATAAGAAACATTAACCAGTCCTTATTTGATGCTGGTGATGCTTCACTTTTCAGTTTAAAAATACTAAGTGGGGCTGGTATGCGCACCGTCCTTGAGCCAACTGTTACGTTAAACCGTCTGCATTTGTTCCCAGCCCATTATTGTTCTAAACGCCAGAAAAAAGGGTGTTTTGTGGTGATTGTGCTCATTATTTGTGACACGCTCCAGTTCGTCCGAACGTCCGGCTTCCGTCCCCGCGTGCCCGTGCCGACCCTGCACAGGCTTCGCCAGCTCCTTCTCTCTGACCTTCTGTCCAGACCCTGTGCTGGGAGCTGATCGGGTGGTCGTCGGGGGCCGCATCGGGCTTTACGTTCGCTGACGTGCCGTTTCCTCCCTTCCTGTGAGCGCGCAGTCGTGTCACGTGGCCTCGCCCTGCAGCCGCCTCGGCCTCGGTGGGAGTGTGTCTCTCTGGGAGTGCTCAGCCTTTCGTTTGTCTTTCCTCAGAACTTTAAAAACCTGCACCCCCAGCAGCGTGTCCGTCAGTAGACAGATGGGTAAAGAAGATGGGGCGCATCATACGACGGAATGTTACTCGCCCTTAAAAAGAGAGCGAGATCCTGCCATTCGCGACAACGCGGATGGACCTAGTGGGTGTTATGCCGAGAGAAATGAGTCAGACAGAGAAAGACACATACCACATGACCTCACTTCTGTGTGGACTCTGAGGAACAAAATCCAAATAGACAAAACGGAAACAGTCTCATAGCTCCAGACAACATCCTGCTGGTTGCCCGATGGGAGGGGAGTCGGGGGACTGGGTGAGAGGGGAAGGGATGGAGTACGAACTGGCAGTTAGGACATCGTCCCGGGATGCGACGTACAGCCTGGGGGATGCGGTGTCCGGCGGGTACCAGACTCAGCAGGGGGCTCGCCCCGTAAGTCGCACAGTGTGTAGCCACTCTGCTGTACTCCTGAGACCAACATAATGTTGAACGTCAACTGTAATTAAAAAATAAAAATAAATTACTTTCCCAAAGTCTAGGATATACATGTGACAACTGCCTAAGCAAATCTAGTTTTTCAGATCAAACTGCATTCTCTACCTTATGCTGCCCATTCAGATCCCTCCGAAACTGGGTGACCAGAAATGGTGGTGCATATTATATAAGGGTTTGTGAAGTGGCTTATGGGATTCGAGTCTAACGAACAAAGTTTTTAAGACCGCTCTGCTTGATCACTTCTAGAGTCTTATACAAAATGACAATGCTCGCATCACGGAGTATTCTTCCTTAGACGTCCCTCCAATGAGCATACACTGACCAGAGGCGATTAGCACAGTTCCTAGTAGAAACTAGACTTCGTCTCAGGTGATTTATCTAGAAGTTTCTTAGGTTGACAGCTTGTTTAAGAAAGCTCTTAACATGGAGCAAACGATGTTTTATTGGCAGATTAACTTTGGCAATATAAATTGAAGAACCAAGGATTCACTTTTGAGTCTAGGTAATGGTTAAAGATAATCTGTAGAAAGAGAGAAGTTATGGCTGAAAATACTTCTGAATATTTAAGAAATAACAAACTTTAATAAGGAATTTTTAAATGTGAAGGAGTTAGTACTCAAGAAAATAATGAACTTTTCAATGTGTGCCGTTTAGTATAAACGTTACGCACATGACTTCTGTCTATTTTTACAGGTGGCGTTCGGCCCAAAATAAAATGCTTTTCCTCGTCCGCAGGTATACGAGAGAGGCGGGGGTGCGCTCTCTGGACAGGAAGTTCGGGGCCATTTGCCGAGCCGTGGCTGTGAAGGTGGCGGAAGGACAGCACAAGGAGGCCAAGCTGGAGCGCCCCGACGCCACTGAGGGCGAAGGTCTGGCCCCCGACCGCGAGCCCTTGGGGGGCGGGGGAGTGCGTCGGAGCAGTGGCACTGCCACTCCGCCGGTCAGAGCTGGGCGGGTGTGTCATCAGTTGATGAGGGGCGTCTTTCATCAGGCCGGAGGGTCCCTTACGAGTAGCTCGGGGTTTCGGTGGCTCGAGGCTGCCGGCCTCCAGGCCGTGGCGTCAGCCCGCTTGACGTGCCCGGTCTGCTCTTCTCGCTTCCGATTCAGATGGTGTTTTCGTCCTTCGGTGTTTACAGCCGAGGAAGTGGTCACGGCAGGCGGGTGGTGCCGCTGTCCCCACGCCGCGGGCAGCCTCGGCCCCGTCTGCTTTTCTCTCTCGTGTTCTTCCATAGCTGCACAACTTACGTGGAATTGAAATTATTCTTTCCTAAAAGACTGATGTGGAGGGGGCGACAGGGAGAGAGAGAGGAGGGTCCTCTTACTGGAATGAATCAAATGTGGACCTTTTCGGTGCCCAGTTAAAATGCTCGGCCTTCCCGCCCGGGCGCGTGGGGCCCGGCTCGTCGCGGCTGCTGCCACGCGGTGCCCAGGC